GAGGAAGTGGCTGTGGGGGATGGAGTGGTAGGAGGAATGAAGGAGAGCAGCAGTTAGGTGAGGGTGGGGTAGGCTTCCTGAAACAGGGTTTTCAGGGAGTGCCTGAAGTGAGGAGGGAAGGTGACAGTATGGATTGGGGTAGTGAGTTCCAGAGGATTGGAGGACCTGGAGAAGTCTTGCAACGTGCGTGTGAGGAGGAGACCAAAGATAGAAGGAGGTCCTGTGATAAAGGGTACGGGTAGGGTGGTACTTGGGAATCAGGTTGGTGAGGTAGTTAGGGGCATGTTGTGAATGGCTTTGTAGGTCAGAGTGAGTAGTTTGAATTTGATGCGTTGTGGAGGGAGAGGCAGAGGGGGGTGGCAGAGGTGGAGCGGGTGGTGAGGTGGATGAGTCTAGCCGCTGAGTTGAGGATGGTCTGAAGCGGGGAGAGCCTGCACTGGGGTAGGCCAGTGAGGAGGGAGTTGCAGTAGTCAAGGCGTGAGATAATCAGGGAGTGCACAAGTAGTTTAGTGGTGTCTGGGGTAAGGAGGGAGCGTATTTTGGCGATATTGCGGAGGTGGAGTCTGCATGTGTTTGTGAGTGATTTGACATGAGGTTGGAAGGAGAGGTTAGAGTCCAGAATGACTCCAAGGACTTTGGCTTGCGGGGCGGGATTGATGGTGGTGATGTTAGTAGTGATGGATAGGATGGGGGGGGGGGCGCGGGCAGGAGAGAAGACGAGAAGCTCGGTTTTGGAGAGGTTGAGTTTGAGGAAATGGAGCGACATCCAGTCAGAGAGCATTTCCAGCATTTTGTCAACATTAATCATTACAGTAAAGGCTATAAATTATTGGAGCAACTAAAAAACTTATAAATATATTTTAGAAATGTAATCTATTTTACCTGCTGCAAGGATAGTAATTCTGCTTAGCCTGTTTTATGATCACAAGCTCTCACTCCTGTTAAAATGCAGTAAGGGCTCATGTACACTGCAGCGGATAAACTCACGTTTAGGAGCTGTTCAGCATTGTTTCCAGCAGCCCCTGAACTCACCCTCATGTTTTCCTATGTGTCCATGTACACATCTTTGTTTACAGTTGTTTACAGGCATTTGAGTTTACAGTCGTTTTTTGAACGCAGAAAACATGCGTTCAGCAGTTGATTTTATCAGCTTTTCAAATGCAAAACGCTTGTAAACGCGGCAAATTGCATTTATAAGCGATTTAAATTTTTTTTAAACTCTTCCAGTTCCCGATGCTGTCCAGAGCCTTTTTTCATCATGAAAAATGCGTGCAAAGCGTTTTCAAGGTACTCAGATGGACAAAACACTGAACACAGGATGTTCCTACCAAGCTTGTCACACATTGTAATGACCAATTCACACCTCAGACCTCTCCCACCCTTGGAAACAAAAGATATGTTAATGACCATTCACACCTCAAATTCCTCAGGAAGACCCCCTATCAGGTGGCCTTAATGACTCACTCCACCAGACACCTTACCACCCTTGGAAACAAAAATGTTAATGAGCAACTCACACATAAGGTAATCTCAACACATACTGTCATCTCTGCTTCTACTCTCTGTATTTCTCTGAAGCAGTCTGATATAGTTAATAATGTACCACTTTTTAGCGCATTCTGGGCATTTGGGAGGTTCTCCTGTGCTTATCTTTAAAAAACACTTCTAAACGCAAACGCACATAAACGCGTTATGCAAACGCAGCTAAACAGACTTTTTAACCTACGTTTTCCAGCAGTCAGTTTCCATCATTCAGAAGTGTCCCGTGTACATGGAGCCTAAAGGTTCAGAGCCAGACCCTGCATCTAGAGACACAGGGCATATACTCATGTGGATGAAGCATACAGTGTGACTAGACCATAGCTCTTATCACAAATGTAGATTTAAATTACATATATGTCACAAAATATTATATGCAAAAACACTGACACTTGATTAGTCAGATATACAGTACAGTAGTTCTATCCAAACATGCAATTTTAATGACAATGTCTCTAACTACTTGCTGACCCACCACAGCATTTTTACTGCGGCGGGACAGAAGCTACAAGCATAGAGACATACTGATTTCCGCCTGCTCCCCTGTGATTTGACACAGCGAGAATTCATCAACAGAACCCGGCTAATGATTCATGGCCGGAACCTGCTGATCAGCTCTGTCAAATCACAGCTTAGAGCTCTGTGTTGGTAAACAACACAGAGCTCTATACAGAGGGAGAGATCGCTTTGTTCCCTGATAACCAGGGGAGAGAAATAAATTGATCTGTTGTATAAAGCAGCACGCAGGAAACACATTAACACTTGCTAGGCACACAATTATCCCCTTGATTGCCCCCAGATGACAATCACTTACAAGCCAATGTCATTAGTACAGTGATAGTATATATTTTTAGCACTGATCACTGTATTAGTGTCACTGGAGATGTCAGTGTCATTACGTCAGTTCCCACAAAGTGTCAGATTGCCTGCCACACTATCACAGTCCCTCTATAAGTTGCTGATTGCCACCATTACTAGTATAAACAAATAAATAAAAATTCCATTATGTATCCCATAGTTTGAACATGCTATAACTTTCACGCAAACCAATTAATATACATTTGGGTTTTTTTCTACCAAAAATATGTAGCAGAAAACATTTTGGCCTAAACGTATGAAGAAATTAGAATTTTTAATTTTTCTTATTGAATATGCTTTATAGCAGAATGTAAAAAAGTTTTTTTTCAAAATGTTTCATTTATGTAATAAAAAACCCAGTTGTAATCAAATACCACCAAAAGAGAGCTCTTTTTGTGGTTAAAAAAATGCTATAAATTTCATTGGGTACAGTGTTGCATGACCATGCAATTGTCAGCTAAAGAGGTACAGTGCCATATAGCAAAATAACGGCCTGATCATAAACGGGGCAAAATCTTCCAGAGCTTAAGTGGTTAATGACAGCACTAAAGCTATAGGGGTGTCTTAACCACATGCCGCCCAGCCACTGTAGAAATATGGTGGCAGGGCAGCACGGCTGGGCAAAACCACGTTTTAAAACGTGTGTTTTCAAAACAGGTAGGGGGCGCGCGTGAGGCGCGCCACCGCTCTACCTGTCCCGCCATTCACGGCCGTGGATGTCAGTCGCCGAATCACAGCCCATCGTTACCGGCTGTGTCCCGGCAATTAGTGGCAATCACTGACAGAGAGCAGGGCTGCAGTAGCTCTGCTCTCTGTCAGTTTCCTGACAGCTCCTGACAGGCTGATCGGGAGAGAATTTATCTCTCCCGATCAGCGGTGTTCCCTGCAGTACACACCCCCGCCCCCTAGTAAAACACTCCCCTCACACAGTTAACCCTTTCACTGAATAATAAATTTAACCCTTTCCTCCCCAGTGCCATTAGTACAGTGTCAGTGTTTTTTTTTTTTTTTCGCACTGATCACTGTATTGGTGTCACTGGGGATGTCAGTGACCCCAAGTTAGTTCCCCCCCAGTGTCAGAATGTCCACCACAGTCCCACAGTCCTGCCATAAGTCGCTGATCGCCGTCATAAGTCACTGATCGCCACCATTATTAGTATAAAAAAAAATTACAAATCCCAGTATCTTTCCCGCCATTTGTAAACACTATAACTTTCACATAAACCAATTAATTTACACGTATGTTGTTGTTTTTTAGCAAAGACATGTCGCAGAATGCATTTTGGCAGAAAGTTATGACTAAATATGATTTTTAAATTTTTTTTTTTTACTGGACATAAAGTCCAAAATATTGTTTTTTTTCCTCGAAATTGTCAGACTTTTTTTTTATAGCGCAAAAAATAAAAAACACACAGGCAATCAAATACCACCGAAAGAAAGCTCAATTTGTGGGAAAAAGAAGGATGTAAATTTCATTTATGTACCGTATTGCATGACCGCGCAATTGTCCGTTAAACTAGCGCAGCGCTATATAGCAAAAAAATGGCGTAAATTGCAGTATCTATACCATAGTTTGTAGATGCTATAACTGTCACACAAAGCAATATACACTTATTGGGATTTTTTTTTACCAAAAACATGTAGCAGAATACATTTTGGCCTAAATTTATAACTAACTTTGAGTTTACTATATATTTTTTATAGCTGAAAGTAAAAAATATAGTTTTTCTCCAAAATTTTTGGTCTTTTTTGTTTATAGCGTGAAAAATAAAAAGCGCACAGGTGATCAAATACCACCGAAAGAAAGCTCTATTTGTGTGAAAAAAGGACATAAATTTCATTTGGGTGCAGCATTGCATGATCGCGCAATTATCAGTTGAATTAATGCAGCGTCGAGTAGCAAAAAGAGGCCTGGTCATTAAGGGGGTAAATCCTCAGGAGGGCAAGTGGTTAAAGTAAAAAAAAAACTGCGAGCAGGCAGCTGTTTACTGCAGAAGAGACATGCAATGTCTCTTCTGCAATACCAAACACTTACCTACCTGCTCACAGTCTGCTACTGAATGCAAACTGAGCTGCACATGTGCAGCTCAACATGCATTCCTGGCACACTCTGGCTGTGCCAGAATGATTGACTCCCATCCACATGCCCAGGATGACGTCATTCTACCATCAGCAGCCAATCAGGAGACCTAAAACACAGAACCTGGAAAAAGTTGGGGAGAAGATGACAGCGTCCGGCAAGAGGTGTAACTGCCGCATTGCTGGAAGCTGAAGGTGAAGATTTCTGGGGGTTTAGTTCCATTTTAAGCTGGTCATACTGAACAAAAAAAATGGAACAGACATCTTCATTTATTCTGTTGTCCAGTGAGGAAGGACAATCTCCCGTTGTACTTACTGTATTCTGATAGCCAGCAACAGCGGCTGTTGAATACCTGAACCATGGCTGCATCTGACTGTGCAAGTTTCTTTATCCACCAGTATACAGTGAGGATGAGAAAAATCACCCCCAGTGCCTACTGTATTCTAAAAAGCCGCCTGCATTTACCTGAATGCAGCTTAGTATGTGGTTCAGCAACACAATTCCAGCTTTGTTGGCTACATACCTTATTATGTCGCAGACAGCGTTTTAGCAACTCGCCCGCCATATCATATTTGCCTGACTGAATGTAAATGTCCGCCAGTAACAGTAAGCTCTTCTCAAACTCCTCTGCCTCTGCTGGGCTCCAGTTCATTTTGGCAATGCGTTTCAATTGGTTTCTCGCTCTTGGGGTTTGCTTTAATATCATGTAAGCAGTGGCCATACCCAAAAGCGCTGGAACATGGTCTTTCTGGAAGAATGAGACACAGTAATTATGCATAGACACAACTACTCTAGCAATAATGCAAAGAGCAACAATGTGCAATAAATAAGAATCCCATTTTTACCCTATTAGAGATGTCAGAACAATATAGATTTCTACATAGAATTGACAGTTGATGAATATGGATTACTGCACACTTTGCTGTAGCAAATCTGTTTATGCAAAAAAAAAAAACAAAAAACATATCTCCATACAGTGGGTAGAAAAAAAATAATCACTCCCCTTTAAAACAATCACATTTTGTTGCTTTATAGCCTGAAATGAAGACAGACACAGTTTTTGTTTTACATACAAAGAAACAGAGGGTGCACGGACCTAGTGCATTACCTAGGAATTTATTTTTTTTAATTAAAAAAAAAGTACTATACTCACAAAAGGATAAAATATCAAAGGCACATCATAAAAATTACAGCATGGTCCAATCTCCCTAGATGGTGTCTTTATGGGGACTATTAGACCTGCAAATGCCTGACGTGTTTCGAGGCCTTGCCTCTTTCTCAGAGCCAGCCTTGAAACGCGTCACTTTTGAAGGTCTAATAGTCCCCATAAAGACACCATCTAGGGAGATTGGACCATGCTGTACTTCTTTAATGATGTGTAACAGCGCAAACACTGCAAAGTCCTGGGAAATGGTAGTATGGGGTGATGGTGGTATTAGTGGCTACTGTATGCTGTACTTCTTATGATGTGCCTTTGATATTTTATCCTTTTGTGAGTATATTACTTTTTTATATAATAGATCATCAATTTTCATAGGAAATGAACTAGGCCCGTGCACCTCTGTTTCTTTCTTTGTATGCAGTTCATTTGGATTTCCTTGGCCCGGTTGGCCAGCAAGGCTTGCATCCTATAGACTTCCTTTGTGTGGCTACAGTTACTGTGGAGTCCATTGTCCAGCGAATTTTCTATTTTCTGTTACAGTTTTTGTTTTATCCAGCTGTATTTACTTAGTGCAACAAATATAACACTAACATGTCATAAAAAAAAATAAAAAGAATTAAAAAACAGAATCACCGTGTTGGAAAAAAGGATACTGTCACCCCCTTGTGTCAGTATTTTGTTGAGCCACCTTTTGCTTTATTACAGCCTTTAGTCTGTTGGAATAAGTCTCTACTAACTTACACATCTAGACTTTGCAATATTTGCCCACTCTTATTTGCAGAACTGTTCAAGTTCAGTTAAATTTGATGGTGACTGTTTGTGGACAGCAGTCTTCAAGTCATTCCACAGATTTCCAAAGGGATTTAAAGCGTTTCTAAAGGTTATTTTTTTTCTTTTTTTTTTTTTTTTAAATAACAAGCATATCTATACCTACCTGCTGTGTGCAGTGGTTTTGCACAGTGCAGCCTGGATCTTCCTCTTCTTGGGTCCCCTGCAGGTTCTCCTGGCTCCTCTCCTGTCTGTCGGGTGTCCCACAGCAAGCAGTTTTCTATGGGGGCACCAGCTGCTTCATGTTTCCATTCACACATGGAGCTGTGGCTTGGCCCTGTCCTCTCTCTTCTCAGTGGCTGACTGGCTGTGATTGACAGCAGTGGGAGCCAATAGCTTGCTGTCTCAGCCAATGAGGAGGCAGAGGCCCGGGACAGCCGAGGCTGTCATTCACGTTGCTGGATCACGATGGGGCTCAGGTAAGTATTGAGGGGGCTGGGGGCACTGCTGCACACAGAAGGTTTTTCACCTTCATGCATAGAATACATGAAGGTAAAAAACATTCAGCCTTTACAACCACTAATGCTGGCCGTAAACGGTTCGCAAATCGGCCGATTTTTCGTCCGAAAGATTAATCGGACGATTTTAGCACTGTTAGTGGGTTAATTTGTCGGCTGGTTTTCGCGGTTTTTCCACTTTTGGATTATCAGCCATGTTGGAAAATTCGTGGAAAACGACCAATTTTCACGTCAATGATGTTCAAATCGTACGATCGATTTTACGAAAAAAATATGCACATGAGCTGTGACCTGGAAGGAACAGAAGTTTTGACTGTTATATGGGGTGAACTTTATGACTTGGTCGGCCGATTTTCGTAATAATTGGTGGTTACGTCGGTTTAACGAACGACCGATGTTTTGTTAATCGGATGAAAAAACGGCTGGTTTTCGAACCGTCTATGGCCTGCATAAGACTGGGCTGTGACTAGTCCATGCCAGGACATTCACCTTTTTCTCCTTCAAACACTGTGTGGTCATTCTTGCTGTGTGCTTTGGGTCATTGTCATGTTGGAAGGTAAGCCTTTTTCCCATTGACAACTTTCTGGCAGAGGGCAGCAGATTTTCCTCAAGAATTTGATGGTATTTTGTCCCATCCATTCTTCCTTCTATCCTGACAAGTGCTCCAGTCCCTGCTGCAGAGAAACCCCTCTATAACAGGATATTACCACCTCCATGGTGGTATTTGGATGAACTGCATTGGATTTCAGCCAGACATATTGTTTAGTTTAGTGTTGAGGCCAAATAATTCCATTTTAGCCTCATCTGAGCATAACACCTTTTTCCATGTGGCCTCAGAATCCTCAATGTACGTTTTGGCAAAGCTCAGTTGTGACTGCATGTGACTTTTCTTGAGTGGCTTTATCTTGCAACTTTCCCATACAAGCCACATTTGTGGAGAATTTGTGATATTGTTTTGTCACATACACACAATGATTACTCTTTGGCATAAATTCCTGCAATGTCTTCAGAGTTTCTGTAGATCTCCCGGTAGCCTTTCATCCAGTTTGGAGCGACATCCTGATCCAAGGAGGGTCTGTGTTGTGCCAAATACCTGAGCTAATCAAAATGACCACAGTTGATCACAGTTGAAAATCCAATGGCTTTGTGTGCAATTGAGAAGGTGATTAGCTACACCTGATTGAGTTTACAAGTCATTTTTAGTAGGGGGTGATCCTTTTTCCAACTCAGTGATTTTGTTTTTGAATTTTGTTTCATTTTTGTTCTGACATATTGGTGTTATGTCTTTTATTTGGATGTTAAAAGTTGCACTGAGTAAATAAAGCTGAATAAAACAAAAACGGTGTCTGTCTTCATTTTGGGCTGCAAAGCAACAACATGTGACTATTTTATAGGGGGGGGGGTTTTCCTTGCTATACTCACTTTGTGTGTGTGTTTATATATATATATATATATATTATATATATATATACACACACACACACACACACATACATACATATACACACACACTCACTGTTAACTTTACTAGGTACACCTGTTCAATTGCTTGGTAACACAAGTTGCTAATCGGCCAATCACATGGTAACAACTCTATGCATTTAGGCATCTAGATGTTGTGCAGACGACTTGCTGAAGTTCAAACCGAGCATCAGAATGGGGAAGAAAGGGGATTTAAGTGACTTTGAATGTGGCATGGTTGTTGGTGTCAGACAGGCTGGTCTGAATATTTAAAAAATTGCTGATCTACTGGGATTTTCATGCACAACCGACTCTAGGGTTTACAGAGAATGGTTCTGAAAAAAAAAATATCCAGAGAGCGGCAGTTATGTGAACGAAAATGCTTTGTTGATGTCAGAGAAGAATGGGCAGACTGGTTTGGCTGCAACATTCAGATGGTAGGGTCAGAATTTTGCATAAAACAACATGAAAGCATGGATCCATCCCGTCTTGTATCAACAGTTCAGGCTGAGGTGGTGTAATGGTGTGGAGGAGATTTTATTGAACTAGCAAGGTGTACCTAATAAAGTGGCGTGTGTGTGTGTGTGTGTGTGTGTGTGTGTGTGTGTGTATAAAGCTTTAGCTTTAAAATGAGGACCTGCTTAAATCAAATGTAACAGATCACCACTACATTCCATGCAACCATAGAGATGTTTGTGCGAAGTCTAGTACATGACACCTTGAAAATTTGTGTGTCTCTGCCCATCCCCTCAATATACCATTGTGACAGTACAGCTTACATGCAGCATAACACAGGAAATTTCTATGTTGTCATAGTAAGAAAGCTTTTTTTTTCTCTGCTTCACGCATGTTCAGCCAAGATGTTCTATAGAGGAGTATTTACACTCCAGTCCTATTTTTCAAATTTTTCCACATGTTCCTATCATTAAAAGCTGAAATTCAGCTAGGAATCACCCAAACTAAACTTTATTCCCCCAAGCATTTGTAGCTAATCCCCTAGTGGATCTGCATTCCAAACTTGCCAAGAACCAGTCTTGTTGCTTCTCCTTGTAGGAATGTCATCCTGCCACTGTTGTCCTCATGATCTGTGAGATGTACAGCAATGGAAGTGTCCATGTTACCAGGTCCTGAAGACTCCAAAGCTGGAGGATGACATGCCAACAATGGACAAGGGGAAGCAACAAGACTGGTCATTAGAGAGCTTGGATTGTAGAGGTTTTTGTGTGAAATAAATATATTTTAACATTGTTTTCCTTGAGAGCTATTTCATGAAATTGTACTGAATTGATTTTGTGTAGTCTGTTTAATAGTAACCTGTGCTAAGCAGAAAAGGACACCAGAGTAAGCTGGGGTGAACCGACGTAATGGTTCAGCTTTCTTATGCGAGAACAAGCACTCATTATTTATAGGAAAGAGGAATCTTACTTCTGCAGCTACCACTTCAGTAAATGTATTTAGAGCGCGCTCAACATTGGCTTTCTGCTTGGTTGCCATCAGGCAATAGTTCTCCATAATTCGAAGTTGGATGTGTCCATGGAGACTTTGCGGCTTCAGCTCCTTGAGAAGTTTCTCTGCTGTTCTGACAGCAAGCTGTACAGATTCCTGCTTTTCTGTGGAGTTCCTACAAAATGATAAACAAAACTGTATTTCAAGTTCCTTTATGTGAAAGAGCTGTTGATAAAAATAAAAAATATAGAACACGTATAATTTACATTGTACTAAAAATCTCTAAGATTCGAACTGTTCTGTGTTCATGGCCTTTTATTTCTAAAGAAACACAAAATTGTAAGGTAGCAGTATGCATCACCAGGAGAGAAAGTTAGCTGTATTTAGCAAAATGTCTAACCACAGTACCACCTTTACCATGAATATCTACAGTACTCAACTCTAGACTCAGATATTTGTACACATGCTGTATTAAACTTGTTGCTTTCTGGTCCATTGACGGACATGGGAAGTCATCTACTCTTGGGTAATACTGGTGACTACAGGAGAATTTGACACTGGTGATTTTTTTTTTCAACGTAGGTCAGGCCAGGATAACCCCACTTCATCCCAGCATGCCTCTGTGTTTTGCTAGTGCCTTAGGAGATTGCATGTCATTTTTTCAGCTCTGCTAGGAAAACTGTATTCATTTTGCCGGCTTTTGTCTCTGATTTTTCCTTCAATATTTTTTTTTTTTAATTCAGTAAAGATTCCTACATGGCAACTATCCAGTTCGGCCTTTACTCAGCACCCAATGGACTGGATATTGAGGGGTTACTTTGGTAGTGAGCTATAGGCACTGGGTTCTATGTTAGGCACCTTCCAAACATAGTCCTGGTTACACTTTAACCATGGACCACTTTTCAGGTCCAAAGCTGCTAACATTGCCTATGTGCTTGCCTGGCCTCTGAAGACTCACAATGTGAGTAAGCTGATTGGGCTAAGCAGCAGGTGCTACCTAACTATTTGCACTGATGAATGCCTTTGATTTTCCCCCTTTCTGATGGTTATTGTGGAAGGAGTTAATGCTGACAGACTGAGTACTGACGTCATCCACGGGGAGAGTGTGGTGCGTCTGTGCTTGGCACTCTTTCCCCCCACTCGGCATCAAGGAAGCAGTTGCTACTGCTTTGCAGAGTGACATGGAACTCCTAACTACTGCTTGTCTAACACGTAACCTTAGACACTTCCAGCCTTCACCCCTTTCCCAAAGTGTAAGCTAGCTGGGTTTGTAAGTTCTGAGACCTTGCTTTGTACTGTATAAAAAATATGATTAGGACTGCTGCAATCAACCAGATATGGGAGGCAACATACCTTTTGGTTCATTACAGAGAGGAAGTTTAAAAGATCCATTGTAAAGATGAACCCTGATAACAGCTGATCAGGCACAATTCTGCAATTTTGGCATGAACGGATGATGGTGGTGAACCGAAATGAAAATTCTGTACCAAAACCAAAAATTCAGGATGCACTTGGCCAAAACCCAAAACGGACGGCTTTTAAAAAAAAAATATGTTTTATATAGAATTGTATTATATTCGACCTTTTAATGAATATCATGAATTTAAAGGAATATGAATTTAAAAAGTACAATCCAGTAGTGCAAAATAACTTTTATTGAAAGTAACACACAAAAATTGGACAGAAAATAAAATGAAATATATATATAAAATGAAAAAACCTTAAATAGAGGCGTTTTTGCATTGAAGTCAACGGGAATACGAATTTTCCATTGAAGTCAATGAGACATACTTTTGCAATTTGCACTGAAGTCAATAGGGGGTATTTTTGCATTGAATTCAAAGGGACTTGATTTTGCATTGGCGTCAATTATCATTATCGGCAAAACGTTGATAACCCTATTGTCTACCAATAAGTTTCAGCGGCCCATACATTGGTGCATCACTAATGATAAGCATCAGCGACCCAGTGCACCAGTGCTCTCACATGACTGTGCAGAGTTCATAGCATTAGGAAAGCATGCAGTAAAACAACCAAAAGCCTACACTGGGCTTCTTCACTTCATTCTGGTGTGCCAAAAGAGCAGTGGGTGAGCAAAGGGAAAGAAAGTGTTTGGGGGGACTGGTACCTAAGGTATCCTACTGCTTTGCCTTGTAAGGGAAAAGTACATGTTTAGTTCAAGGTTCTAAATTGATGATTTATATTAAAACTATTTTTTTAAAATAGTTTTTTGACCACTAAAAATTTCATTTGGAATTAAATAGCAGAGCTTGCTGGGCCTCTGAAGAAATGGCAGCACTGGCTAGCTGCTGTCAGCACTATGACAAGCTAGGCAGACTAGTCTAGGTCTTCACCAGCTGACTGCAAGTGCAAACATGAAATATTAATATGCAAAATGTAATATTTACCTAAAGATAATCGAGACAAGTAAGTGGTACCAAAGCCACCTGCAGGACCTTGGTGCCAAAGCCAGGATTTGCTAATGCAGCCCCATCCACCAGATAAAACTGGCCACTACAGGAAACTGGCCTTTTATTGATTTGTATAATGACTTTTGTTGGCATAAGTATACCCACAGAGAAAATATGTGGTTTTTTTTAGTCCTGAACAGAAAAAATAAAGAAAACACAAAACACCATTCATTCATTTCATAAGTGTCTGTCTGTTTCAGTGTGTCAAACCAAATGACTCGAAACAATCACTCACACAACAAGTAGGAGGTGAAGGTTGATGGGGAAGCTTTCACATATTAGACCTACGGAATGGCAGGACAGGTAGCCAAGATTCTGACAGTTTAGTAATCTCATTATCCTCCATTCAGAAATAAATGACACATTTTGGCTTGAACTTGCCTTTAAATAAGGAGCAGACTAAAATACATTTCTTACCCCATGTCGCCATCCAAGTTGTCAAACACTTCCCCGCCCACAGTATCATTATCTGGATTTAAACAGATTTCAATCATGTTATATATGGCATTTTGTCCCCAATCGCTGTCTTTACGAGCTTTATTGAAATGTCGGAGGGCATCATTAGCTTCACCTGTGTACCTTGGGGAAAAAGAAGGATATGGGAAAGGTTTAATCTATGTCACGTTTCTATAGAAGTGCCAACTGACTGCTAATAAGAATATATAGTAATATTGTCAGATGACAGATATTTGTATGCAAGAATGTTGATTCACAGAGGCAGGTTACAGCGAGACATTACATCTAACAAGGGATGTACAATTTGAAGTGATAGTAAACCCTCACTTTTCTTGCACTTTCCGCAGCCGATTTCATCTTTTAAGTAAGCCATAGTTTAATCAATTTTCTTTTCTTTCCACCAGTGTTTGGAGGGGGCGGTCTTCCTGGCCAGCAGAATACTGTAATCACATGCAGAAAAATCCAACAGGCTGGCTGTACCCAAGTCGATCAATGGACCAAATTGGGTACAATCAGCCTGCCCATACATGGATCTAAATTGGTCAGGTCCCTGCTGAAGCAGGCAAATTTTGATCAGTGTATGGCCAGCTTTACTGAGTATACAACTTCTTTATCTTTGAATCCTTGCCTATGGTCCATGGTAAGCCGACGTCTTAACTGCTGCACTAGGTTTCCTGTTTCAGGGTGGCTCCTGTCTCTTGTAGCATCCTATGGAGCCACCCTTGCATGCAGGGACTAGAGTTGTGTCTCCCTACACTGCTAACCAGAAGTGCAGGGAAGTAGCTCTGAGAGAGCAGGAGCCAGAAGCATTGTAGGTTGTAAACTGAAAGAGCTGGGGAAATAATTTTCACTAATAGTTTACTAGGGAATGTTTAATTTATTCTGCTCAGTGTGTAAAACTAAAAACACTTAGAGTTTAATACAACTTTAAATAACCATTCTTTCCTGTTCTCATCCAGCAGCTTGATTCTGACCATTACCTAGTTGTCACAACAATTAACTTAGATAGCAACGATCAAAAAAGCCCATGAGGTAGCAGAGATGCCCGCATGTGGAATAAATCTTCAAAGAGACAAGAATGTAGAAATATTATATCCAAAAAGGTGTATACTTGTTTTTAAAGGACAATTTAATACCAAAAACGCAATTTGTGAAGAATGTAGAATGTTTACTTCTTCAGATGAGGAGTAGCACAAGCTCCATGGCCAATGAAGGGATACAGGAGAGAATAAGGAGGGGTAAATAAAAATGGTGTATATTATTACAGGGGATTAAAAACACAAACTGCATGCATAGGAAAATCTTATATACTCCTCCTCTTATTCCTTTCTGTATCCTTTCATTTTCCATAGATCTTGTGCTATACCTCTCATCTGAAGAGCAGATCATTTGTCGTGAAACATGTTATTGGTGGGTGTTAAGATAAATATCCTTTCATAAGAAGCCTACACCCTTTTTAGATATATCCCTTCTATATTCTTGTCTTTTGAAGACAACATCCACCTACAGGAGCCTCTGCTACCTCACAAGCTTTTTTTTTTTTTTTTTTTTTTTAATTTACACCGATCAGCCATAACTTTATGACCACCAGCTGAATACTGAGTAGGTCCCCCTTTCGACACCAAAACAGCACTGACCCATCAAGGCACAGATGTCACTAGACCTCTGAAGGTATGCTGTGGTATCTGGCACCAAGATCCTTTGACTCCTGTAAGTTGCAAGGTGGGGCCCCCCATAGATCAGACTTGTTTTCCATCACATCACACAAATGTTCCATTGATTGAAATATGGAGAATTTGGAGGCACAGTCAACACAAAAAATTTGTTCTCGAGTTCCTCAAACCATTCTTGAATCATTTTTTCCAGTGTAGCAGGGTGCATTATCCTGCTGACAGAGGCAACTGCCATTAGGGAATTTCAACGAAGGGGTGTACTTGGTCAGCAACAATGTTTAGGTAGGTGGTACACGTCAGATAACATTCACATGAATGTCAGGACCCAAGGTTTTCCAGCAGAACAATGCCAAAAGCATCACAGTGCCTCTGCTAACTTGTCTTCTACCCATAGTGCATCCTGATGCCATCTCTTCCCCAAGTAAGCTACGCTTAGGCAACCAGCCACCAACATGATGTAAAAGAAAATGTGATTCATCAGACCAGGCCACCTTAGTTCATTGCTCCGTGGTCCAGTTCTGATGCTCACATTCCCATTGTAGGCAGTTTGGCTGTGGACACGGGTCAGCACGGGCACCCTGAATGGTCAACAGCTATGCGGCCCCATACACAACAAACTGTGATGCCAAATTTTCCTGCTATCAACACATCGACTTCAGGGACAACATGTTTACTTGCCACCTAATACACCCCACCGACTTTCAGATGCCATTTTAATCAATGTTATTCACTTAACCTCCCAGTGGTCATAAAGTTATGGCTGATCAGTGTATATCTGCATTATTTGACCATTCTGAAGTTACCAGAGAAAAACTAGGATGAGGTTTCCCTGAGCATCAACTGTGACTTTCCCAAGAACCTGCATGTATTCTCCACAAGCCATCCATATGGTTGCCTGCAATCTACCCACATGTGACTATTTTTATTTCACCTATTTCTGAAGTATTGTATGTTTTTCTAAAATACTATGCCATAAGAGCTCTCCCGCCTTCCCTCTCCTCTTTTTTTGTTTTTGTTTGCTCTTTACATCCTTGTTTCCTCTGAGAGCAACCTACGCAGATTCAAATGGTCATTTCATTAAATTCAGAAAGCTGCATTATTACATTCCTGGCATGTCACACTATGCATTAACTGTTCTTTTGAAATGTTCCACCTTTTATCATTAAGGCCAGATTCACACAATTGTGGTGGGTTACCGCATGCAGTGAGAAGTGTATTTTCACCATCTGTAGTACATTGTTCCAGAACATTCAGAATCTAAAGTCTGAATTATAGCACCTTTTGAAGGAAGAACACCAATCTGAATACACAGAGAATTCCTATTCATTCTTCCACGTGAAAATAAATGTTACTGGCACAAGAATCATATGAACAGATACAGGGTTACTGCTTTTGAGAAATTGTATGTAGATTATGTTTAATGATCAATTTAAAAGCAAATACTGGAGTTCTTCTTTAACTCTTGTCTAACTATGTATGTTTATAAATGTCCTGATAGTAAAGGGTTTAACACAAGCCCAGCCCATAGTGACTTCCATATTCTTCTGTCCCTTTGGGGAGCCCAAGACTTGGTAAATAGCTTCAGGATACCAAGTGGGAGGATGTTCCCTGATCTTCTCTGCAATGAATGAACCTGGAAGTCACAAGAATTTTATCACTTCAGGGTTCGGAGCTGTCATTCCCTGGCTACTCTGCTTGATTAGCTGCAGTGGGGAGATATTGGGAGTCCAACAGATCCCCAATGTCTCTATAAAGAGGACCTGTAACCTGCCCAATGCTATCACATGCAAGGCTTGTTAGTCCCCTCACAATAAAGTGAAATAAAAAAGTGTAAAAAAAACCTGAAATATAATTAAATAAAAATATACAGCGCTGAGCGAACCATTGGCGCTTTATAAATACTGTATAATAATATATTTTTTCAAATTAAAAACGCATCCCTGATGCTCTGTGCAAACAACTGACAATGCAATGCATGTGTAGGGCGAGAATGTGAATGTAAACGGAAATTGAACAACAAGCAAAGTATCACCACGACCATTGAAATGAGAGCAAGAATTTAAAGGCCATAATTCATGGTTACCTTTAAACTGATAACTTGCATAGCCCCTTAAAACCATGCCTATGGCCAATTTTGGGTAGCATAATTTTTCATGGGTGCATATAATTTTAAGGCTTGGCATGTTGAATATCCGTTTACTTGATGCCGCCCATCTTTTATATTTTGCACTGAAATTAGGTATTATATTGAGGTTGTGTGTACTAAAACTCATTTTAGTGTATTTTTCCCTAAAACATGCATTTGATATACAATTGAGCAAATACCATGTTACTAAAAACTGCAACTGCCACCATTTTATTCTCCAAGGCCTCTGCTTTCAGAAAATATATATTTGTTTGTGGGTTTAAAGTAATTTTCTAGCATAAAAATGCAGATTTTAATGTGAGTGAAATATAAAAAAAAAAAAACCTGCCCAGTAGACAAGTGGTTACTCATCAAAGTTTATGAAATAGACCAATAATCCTCCAGCTGGGATATCAAACTTACCACAAGTATAATCCTTTGCAATAATGAAAGCCAGGTTCAAGCTTTGCTCTGGAGGAATACTTCTCAGCCAGATCTAGAAATTTTGGGACCTCTTCAAGCTTCCCAGCTCTTCTCAACAGGTCAATCAAACGAGAGAGAGTGCCATAATTATCTGTAAAGGGAAATATTAAAGATTTATTTTAAATAAAATAGTGCAGCACTGATAAAGGTAATAATACTAGATGATAGGGAGCCTCCTATCATATCCTGTGAGAGCTGCACCCATCCATTCCTATAGGTGAACTCTGGATATCCTTGGATTAACAGCATTGTAGGCCCTGGACCCTGACCATCCTGAGAGGGAGCCTGTTCCATCCTGTGGCCCAGATGACTACCTGTTGACACCTGGATATTACATATAATGCACAATAATAGTGCACGTCCGGTGAGTGCGCATTTTATATAATCAATACAAAACACAAGCACCGATTTGAAGCTGTGAGACTTTTAATATTTATATTCACCAGCTATTTACATGTGATTTTTTGACGTCTATATATTTTTGTCTTATATCTATTTCTCATCTAGTATCATTACCTTTATCAGCGCTGCACTATTTTATTTCTGATTTGCATAAGGATTTCTGTTGGTTGCCTGGAGTGTACAGTTGCTTACTGGAAAGCGCTCACTTTTATCTGTCTATTTATACCATTAAAGATTTATTGCTGACAAGCCAGGTAACGGGCCACACTGGCCCTACTCTGGGCAAACACCTTAATGCACATCTGAAATACACACACTGCATATTTACTGTTTTACCTGCCGAAGGATTTGCCATTCTGGTCAGTCAGTTGTAATGTATGTACCTCTTGCACATTGAACATCCTGAGATGTCACAGACTTATTTCCTATGTCACCCCTGATTCAGCCTGCTCATTGGACAATGGCTGCATCACACCTCTGTCCAGTGATCCAGGAAGAGGTAAAGCTAACTCAAACAGTAATAGTAAACCAAGAAGGAGGGACCATCCTGACTAGCAGATGGTTATCACAAAACTGGCTGTCCAAAATTATAAATAATTTTATGGGATAAAACAGTAAAAAAAATCTGCATTTGAAAGGTGTAATTAGCGGTTTGTCTGGAATTTTACATTAAAACATCAGTCAACCTGTACGGCAGCTGATGAAACAGGAAGGCGCTTCTATTGTAAATGCAGTATATCCAGATGAACTTTAATGACAACAGTTATAAAACACTTACAAAGTGACAGTTAAAACAGGCTCTGTATAATCCGTCTGGATGCGGGGTCTCTATCCACCATGCGAGAGCCCGCTATGCCGACCATAAGGTGCAGGGGGAGCTGAAGATGGGATGTCCAACATGGCTGACACAACTTCAAGGGTTGCTGGAACACACACTGGAGTGTGAAGGAGCTCTGAGCATGCTCTGAAATGCGTCACTGTTCCACGCCTAAGTCACTTCCGGTCTCCTGGACCTTGTGCACTCCAGTGTGCATTCCAGCGACCCTGGCACTTGCCGCGACCATCTTGGACATCCCATTTTCAGCTCCCCCTGCAGCTGCTGGTTGGCACAGCGGGTTCTCGCACGGTGGATAGAGTACCGCATCCTGACGGATTATACAGAACCTGTTTTACCTGCCACTTTGTAAAGTGTTGCTAAATGTTGTCATTAAAGTTCATCTGGATATACTGCACTCCTTCCACATACAGAGTCTGCTTCAACTGTCAGAAGTGCTGCCCAGTGCCTGTGTTTCAGTTCCTCTTCCATCTTTGGCTGACACCTCTCTGTCCACAGCCTCCTCCATTGATGCACCCTATACACATTCTCCTGTACTGCAAACTGACTTTTGTATAACTTTTAGACCACACTGGAATACAAATTAAAGAGTAATTGCTCCTTTATGATAAAAGGTTATGTTGCTTCTCATACCTGGTTGATTTAATGTAAAAAAAAAAAAAAAAAAAAAAAAAAAGTGTTTATCAGCTTTAGCGAATCCTTTTAGATTATGTCTGGAATGCATAAAATGGAACAACCACACATACCCCTTTTGAACCATTGGTATAATTAATTATAGATCTTTCAATTATCACCATCTGTAAAAGATTTGCTCAACTGTGGACTCATTACTGCTCCTATACTAAATAATAACATTGAGATCCCTTTATGGTAGGGAAGTCAGATTTCTTGACACACAATATGCCAAAAATATGTGGACACCCCTTCGAATGACTGATTTCAGGTGCTTCTACTAAAGGGTGTTAATGACATTTTAGACAATTTTGTGCTTCCAACTTTGTGGAAACCATTTGAGGGAGGTCTTTTTCTGTTCCACCATGGTTGTGCCCCTGTGCATATAGCTAGCTCCATAAAGACATGGCTTGATGAGTTTGGTGTGGAGAAGAACAAAACTCTGATCTGAACCCTATTAAGTAATTTTGGCATGAACTGGAATGCTGCTTGTGAGCCAGGTCTTCTCAACCAACAATTCCTGACCTCACAAATGCTCTTTGGCTGAAGGGGCACAGAGTCCCAGAGACACACTGAAAGTATTACATTTAGGAAAAGGGTTGCCATACTTGGTCCAGGATCACCGTCCATAACCTGTTATTTCAGAGAGAAATCTTCTCTTCTGGAGCATTGCAAAGGCATTTTAACCTCCGTAGCGGTCTGATTATGTCCATATTTCTGTGCTCAAAGCGGTACATTTTTTTGCATGGAAATATGTTTTTTTTTTTATTGTAGGCCTTTAATTTTTAGGAATAACTCACTGAAATCTGTCCGAACAAGAGTCTAGTAAACATCCCGGGTATGATAAAACTTGAAACACGAAATCATAAATTATAATTTAATAAATAATCTTAAAAAATAATAATAATACAATACATTTTATTCAATATAATCAAACCAAAAACACTGAAATTTTAAATATAGCGCCAAGTTCGCACATCACTGAGCAAAGTCGCAAAATCGTTTTCAGTGTCTGATGACGAATTTCCCCACAAATCATTATCACTCAATTCTGCAAGTAGTTCTGATTTACTTTTGCTGTATTGTAGCTGGTCTAAAACCACTTTTGACCTAAAGGGACGCTTTTTGGACGCCATGGACGTTTCTCAGTTTCCAGGCAGAAACAACAGTAAAAATGTAGGCAGGGCACAGGACAAAGCAGCACTAGGGACAAAATGTATGTGAAATGGTTTGATACAGGAATGTTTTACTATGTGATTTTAGTGAATGTCATTTTTTGTTATTTTCAAATTTCCCGCCGTTCCGTCCCCCGTACGTCCCGACGCTCGGAGGGAACGGAACCCAGATGACAGATGCCAGCATCTGCCGGATTACATTGCCGGGGGACACTGCAGGAGGGACAGCGCGGGAGCGCAGGACAAGGTAAGTGACCGAGGGATCGTGGAGCAGCGCCGCATGGTAAGCCCGGAGTGTAGCTCGGGTAACCGCTTGTGGTACTGAAACTTTATCCCGAGCTACACTCGGTAATACCGCCACGGAGGTTAATAGAAAAAGGACAACACATTTGAACAGTGTACACTTACCTGGCTTACGCTCCAGCAGCTGCTGAAAGTGAAACATGGCTTGCTCATAGTCTTGTTTCCTGAACATAAGATCTGCCATCATCTGCAGGGTGTAAAACAGGAAGAAAAATATTTATAACAATGAAAAAATTATTTTAACACCACTGACACCCACATGGTATGCTGCATGCAGCCATGTGCAATGTTCAATTCTGATAGCAGTGAGTGACTACTTGAAATTTTCCAACCTGGCCAATATTATTTTTGCCACCTAGTTGTTTCAAAGTGCTCTTAGCCAAGATAAGCTGCAGTTATGATGGATCTGTTCCCATCCTAGCTGTTATGGGATTTACTGTGCAGGGGGCAAGTCAAACTGATGTAGCTAGACTAAGGAAAACCGAAGCTACATCAAAGTACTACAATGTGCTTTACCAAATGGGGTTCACAACAATGTAAAAAAATGTTCTTTACAACCTATTAGTAGGCTGCTATGTTTTCCAGCAATGAAGCAACTGTGTTCAATTAAGAAACTCCACTTACTTTACCTTGATCCACGTTCCTTCTGATTCCCAGAAGATAGAATTCATATACAGTGGGGATCGAAAGTTTGGGCACCCCAGCTAAAAATTTGTATTAATGTGCATAAAAAAGCCAAGGAAAGATGGAAAAATCTCCAAAAGGCATCAAATTACAGATTAGACATTCTTATAATATGTCAACAAAAGTTAGATTTTATTTCCATCATTTACACTTTCAAAATAACCGAAAACAAAAAAATGGCGTCTGCAAAAGTTTGGGCACCCTGCAGAGTTAATATCTTGTACTGCCCCCTTTGGCAAGTATCACAGCTTGTAAACGCTTTTTGTAGCCAGCCAAGAGTCTTTCAATTCTTGTTTGAGGTATCTTTGCCCATTCTTCCTTACAAAAGTCCTCCAGTTCTTTGAGATTTCTGGGCTGTCTGTCATGCACTGCTCTTTTAAGCTCTATCCATAGATTTTCAATTATGTTGAGGTCAGGAGATTGTGAAGGCCATGGCAAAACCTTCAGTTTACGCCTCTTGATGTAATCCCCCGTGGATTTCGAGGTGTGTTTAGGATCATTATCCATTTGTAGAAGCCATCCTCTCTTTAACTTCAGCTTTTTCACAGATGGCATCAAGTTACCATCCAAAATTTGCTGAAATTTGATTGAATCCATTTTTCCTTCTACTCGTGAGATGTTCCATGTGCCACTGGCTGCAACACAACCCCAAAGCATGATTGATCCAACCCCATGCTTAACAGTTGGACAGAGGTTCTTTTCATTAAATTCTGTGCCCCTTCTTCTCCAAACGTACCTTTGCTCATTCCGGCCAAAAAGTTCAATTTTATCCTCATCGGTCCACAGAACTTGTTTCCAAAATGCATCAGGCTTGTCTATATGTTCAATTGCAAAGTTCAAACAATGATTTTTGTGGTGAGGACGTAGAAGAGGTTTTCTTCTGATGACTCTTCCATGAATACCATATTTGTACAAGTATCTCTTTATAGTGGAATAGTGTACCACAACTCCAGTGTCTGCCAGATCTTTCTGGAGGGATCGTGCAGTCAAACGTGGGTTTTGAATTGTTTTTCTCACAATCCTGCGAGCTGTTCTGTCTGATATTTTTCTTGGTCTTCCAGATCTTGCTTTAACTTCCACTGTTCCTGATGACTGCCATTTCTTAATTACATTCCGAACAGAGGATATTGACATCTGAAAACGCTTTGCTATCTTTTTATAGCCTTCTCCAGCTTTGTGAGCATCAACTATTTTCAGCTTTCTAGACAACTGCTTAGAAGAACCCATGGTGCTGATTTTTGGGGCAAGGTCAGATGAGTCTGGGCATTTAAAACCTTTGAGATTGACATCACCTGGTCTTCCCAGACGATGATTGAGAACAATCCATGACACTGGCATTTCTCAGCTTTGCAAAGGGGGCAGTGCATGCTATAAATTCTGCAGGGTGCCCAAACTTTTGCAGACGCCATTTTTTTTTTTTGTTTTCTGTTATTTTGAAAGTGTAAATGATTGAAATAAAATCTATTTTTTGTTGACATATTATAAGAATGTCTAATCTGTAATTTGATGCCTTTTGGAGATTTTTCCATCTTTCCTTGGCTTCTTTATGCACATTAATACAAATTTTTAGCTGGGGTGCCCAAACTTTCGATCCCCACTGTAGCACATAACTAGTCCACTGGAAGTGTAGTTCTGTAATCCTGTGTTGTCTATACCCTGGTACAAGCGGGTCAAAAATCACCTGGTTCAGCAGGAACTGTCCGAGTTTTGGTTTGTGTGCACTGCTGCCTATTCAACAAAAGCTGGTCTAACGACTGACTTCTGTTGAACGGTCCTGCTGGAAAACCAGCATTTGAATAGTGCTACCAGCCAATGGCTGTGCGCTCTGATCAGTGAATTCTGGCAAGCTGTGTGCATTGACATTGCTTGTGTTGATGATCAGTCAGGTTTTTTTCATTCAACCCTCCGGTTGAAAAAAAACAAAAAATGTGTGTGTTTACCCAGGCTGACTTTCTTTCTGTGTGCTGTATCTCCAAATGAAAAAGCCCAAGGCAGTGCCCACTTGGTGTTTGTGAGATGTTTACATTGTACTTCTGAAATTTCTTTTGAGCCTATTTCCGCTGACTAATTTTTGTTGTGGATGATACCCAGCATCATCAAGGCCCTTCATTAGTGGCCTGGCAATCAGGGACACATCTCCTGTACAACAAGGAGTGTTCTCACCACACAGGTTAGGTCATTGGTGAACATTACATGCAGCAATCTGCATCCCATTGCAGAACACCCATTAATGCTCATATCCTTTGACAGACACATGTATCCTAGCACGGTAGACACTGGCTGTTTAGCACTGTGACTGCTGTTAGGAAAGATGTGCCACTACTATTTCTCACAGCAGACACCAGCAGAACCAAGGAAAGTAGACTAATTAGTGTAATCGCATTATTACAAAACAGAAAACAGAGCCACTCACTTGCACTGATCAAAGCCTGAGAGATGTTCTGGGTGATTTTTTTCTTGGGGTACACAAGAAACACAGAGTCAAGCTTTGCAATATTCCTGTTGTGTACCTATATTTTAAAGTGTATGTAAACCCTAAATCAAATATATTTTGCAGATTGCCAGTCCTTGGATGCAGTTTCTGTATTCATTTTCTTTTTCAGACTTTTCCTTCATTTTCACCTGGTGATCCTACAAGTAACACACTCCCTGTACTAGTGTGACAGTGCACACTAGCCATACAGAATGAATGGAAGGGCAGCCTTAGGGAAAGTCTACAGAACACCTCCCCTCTTCCTTTCTCCACAACATTGGATAGAGGCATTTTGTAGTCCACAAAAATAGCTGGTAGCAATGTAACGGATAAGAGAACAGCACAATCAGAGTGCACTGGACGCTACCCAGCTTCCACAATATCTAGCAGGATCATAAGTTTTTACACTTTCGGAACAGATATAACAAAACTGTTTCAACTGTCTGTTTAATTGACCAAAATAAGCAAATAAAAAATGTATCAGCAAGTAAAAACGGGTGACTACACACCAGAATGTAAAAGATCCAAAATGATTTATTGTAAATCCTTTTAAAAATCAGACATGCACAGTTCAACAGATAGGGAACAATGGTGATGCGTTTCATGCAAAGATGCACTTAGTCATATCCGAATAAGAGAATTATAAGAAATACAATACTAGTGTTTGCATGCAATTCACAACATAGTGTCAGGCGTCTCTAAATGGACTAAGAAAACAATTAAATTAATATGAAGTCAGATAAATGATGTAACTGTTTACAATGTTTATTATTTTGGATTTTTAAAGCTACATGTTACCAAATGAGAAAAAAATAGATGAAGTATGTTAAGTTATGCTTGCACCAGCCCCATACAGGAAAAAAAAAAAAAAAAAAATAATCATAAAAAATAAAGATTAGGTGTTCTACAAAAACAAGAGCCTGCTGTAAACACACATTAACTTCAAAATATTAAAGCTGCCAGACACGGAGGACAAAATGACATCATCCCAGTGTACAGAGACTTCCTTCACTGTAACTCCACTAGATGGAAAAAGTGCTGGAATATTTTCTGTGAATAACAAATATTAAAAGCAAATGCATCACCATAAAGGAATGCATTTTGCACCATATCCTCTCATAATGCCTCTTTACATTGTCTAATGAGCTTATATTGAAGGGGCCACCTATCTACCAGAAGATCGAGCAGTCAGGCTGCCTGAAAATGTAGAATAGAGATCTTAACCACTTCCCGACCGGATGTTGCATATAAACGGCCGGGCGGTGGCACTGCAGGGTCGGGTGGCCGTTTATAAACGGCCTCCCCGCACCCTGCTTGTGCGCGCTCCCTGTGAGCGCGCAGCACCGCGATCCGGTGCCAGCTGTGTCCTCCGGACACAGTGAAACACCGATCGTCAGACGGGACCTCTGTACGAGGTCCCGATCATGTGATCACTGATTGGCCAATCAGTGATCACATGCAAAGTAGTAAGCAAGATGTCACTTGTGACATCATTGCTTACTACGTGTGAAATCTGTGAATGATCACAGAGGTCACATGGTACAAGGTTATTCACAACAGCCTTGTACCATGTGACAAGCTGTGACAAATCACAGCTCACTCAGTACTTCTCAATGAGTGCAGGAATGCACACAGAGAGAAAGAGAAATGATTGCTTTTTCATCCTATATGGGTGTAAAAGCAATCAGTGTAAAAAAAAAAAAAAAAAAATCTTCATCATCCCTCACAAGTAGTACAGTGTCACCATGGTGACACTGTACTGCTAGGGTGACAATATGTAAAAAATAAATAAATAAATAAATAAAAAATAATAGAAAAAAATAAAATAAAAATGTAAAAAAAAAATGTTTAAAAATTATAATTTTTGGTTATAAACTAATTTTTTTTTCTAAAAAGATAACGGAATAAATTTTGGCAAAGATTTATGATGAAATATTATTTATTTGCAAAATTTTATAAAAAAAACACTTTTGTTCAAAATTTTTGGTCTTTTTCATTTACATAGTAAAAAAAATAAAAAATCCCAGCGGTGAATAAATACCACCATAATAAAGCTTTATCTGTCTCAAAAAAATGGTAAAAAATTAGTTTGGGTACAGTGTTGCATGACTGTGCAATTGTCATTCAAAGTGTGATAGCACTGAAAGCTGAAAATTGCCCTGGTCAGGAAGGGGGTAAAAGTGTCCGGTCTGGAAGTGGTTAAAGCAGGGGTATCCAACCTTTTGACCTTCCTGGGCCACATTGAAAGAAGAAGAATTGTCATGGACCAAACACAAAATACATTTACAATAAGGATAGCTGATGAGCAGAAAAAGTCAGGCAGATCACAACATGTTTATAGTTACCTGCTCTGTGCAGTGGTTTTGCACAGAGCAGGCATGGTCCTCCTCTTTTTGGGTCCCCGCCGGCGCTCTTAGCTGATCCCCATTGAGCAGTGCCCCATGGGAAAGTCACTCGCCCTAGGGGCACCACTGCGTGCTCGTCCCCAAGCTGCTACTCTATGCATTTATAAGACACAAAGTTGTAGCTCGGCCCCGCCCCCCACTCTGTCCTTATTGGCTCACTGGCTGTGATTGACAGCAGCCAATGGGCTCCTGCAGGTGTCTCGGCCAATGAGGAGGAAGAATTCCCAGACAGAGAATGTCACTGGATTGGACGGGGCTCAGGTAAGGATTGCGGGGAGCTGGGGGGGGGGGGGGGCTGCACACAGAAGGTTTTTTACCTTCATGCATAGAATACATAAAGATAAGAACCCTTCAGCCTTTAGAGCAACTTTATTGAAGACTGATATAGATAACGTACCCATCTGAGTAATTAAACTTCATTTTTATAGTTATTTTTTTTATTACAAAAGTAAAAAAGAGGGCAACATAAAACTAATGCAATATTTGACACTGTTTTTGATAAACTAAACGCATAAATATCTGGTTTGATGAATGTAGTAGCAATTCTTAGTGCATTCTCAAGGTACTCATCAGATATTTTGGTTCAAATTTTGCCCTTCGTGTGCTTCTTCCCTGAAGATAGTTGCTCACAAATATAGGTGCTGCCAAAAACTGATGGATGAATAAGGAGTCATTGTGAAGAATGGGATATTTTTTTATTTGGGAAGATAAAACTTATGAAAAGTCCAGTCACTGACTTTCAGTGAGACACGGTCATAGTTTTCTTCAGCTGCATGTTTTTGCTAAGTGTAAATGCATTTTCCAAAAAATTCTCCCCCCCCCCCCCCAAAAAAAATCAAGATTTTTAAGTAAGTTTACGATTTTGTGTTGGGCGGCATACACAGCCATCTTTGGCTGCATGCATCTCGTGGGCCCCAGGTTGGACATCCGTCTTAAAGATTATCTAAATCTATAAACAAAAGTGTATGTACTATAACTCACCAGTCCTTATATTTGGTGGCTGCATTATACTCTGTTCACACCATAACGTTGGTGTTGTATGAAGCATATTTTTTTCTGCGCAGAAAAAATATGCATTTGACACTAGTGTAGTGGTGTGAACAGCGTACATAGAAAACAGTTTATTTCTTTGTGTCCTTGCAGAGACAGGTGCAGACGTGGTGTGAACGAGGCCTTAGTTTTCATTTTCCAGGCTAAGAACATTTTGAAAAAGTAGAAGAAAAACCTTTTGCTCTTGTCTTGGTGCTTCATGTGAGCTGAACTATAAGCACACACATTCTTATTTGCTTTCCAAGCTTCTGTAAATTATTAACTTTCCTATCCACAAGTAATGAAGATGAACCGAGAAACACCTATTTGAAGTCCAAATCAGGAAAGCAGCCTGAATGACAAACATGACTTCCTCTATAAATACTAGTGGTGCACCGAAATGAAAATTCTGGTGCCGAAACCGAAAATTCAAAATGCTCTTGGCCGAAAACTGAAACCGAAATGTGCAGTTTTTAAAAAATGAATATATATTTTTTGGAAAAAAAAACACTTTGATTAAAAAAAAAAAAAAAAAAACCAAAACAATATATACCCAAATTTTTTGTAAAATACGAAAGAGGATGTTATGGCGAGTAAATAGATACCCAACATGTCACGCTTTAAAATTGCTCATGCTCGTGGAATGGTGTGAAACTGCTGTACTTAAAAATCTCCATGGGTGATGCTTTAAACATTTCTACAAGTCAGCAGTGTAAAGTTACAGAGAATTATTGCTCTTGCATTCGTGGCGATACCTCAAGTGTGTGGTTTGAACACCAGTTACATATGTGGGCATGGCCTACATATGCGTTCACCACTACATGTGAGCACGGGGGGACGGGGGCACTTTAAACTTTTTTTTTATAAATGTATTTAATGTTTTTGGGGTTTTTTTGCACTGTCTCTTTAAAAAAAACATTTAATCACTGTTATTCTTATCACAAAAGACGCATGCCTCCCTTTTGATAGACATAATTAGTGACAGGTCCTCTTTATGGAGAGATATGGGGTCAATAAGACCCCACATCTCTCCTCTGTAATGTAAAGCATTGGATCAAAAAAAAAAAAAAAAAAAAGCATTGATCTAGTGCTTTAAATTAGAAAAAAAATGGCCGGAACCAGAAGTTACATCGCTGCGGTCCTCCAAGGACAGAGATGAGTGGAGGCCATCTTTCCTTCACTAATCTCTATGCCCAGCGCCAGGATCGTTCGATGGTTTCTCAGGTAAGGCTGAGAACTACCGAGCAGCAGGTGGGTGGCTGTGGCGAGGTTTTTTCAGCACCCGTATCAGTGCTTGTTTTCATTTCGGCAGACGGCCGAAAGTGGTGTTTTTGGCCGAAACGTTTCGGCCACCGAAATTTCAGTGCATCCCTAATAAATACAGTGAAGGGGTAAGGTAAAATCCTATTTTCAAGGTACTTGCTTCCACTTCTTTCTTTGCCTAGGTACAGTCTGCAGTGCCCACAGTCTCCTGATATATCACATCACACATCTCAGAAAATTTCAGGACAGTCTCCCCACAGGCTCTCAATCTCATGCATGCACAGCGGAGCTTCAGCAGGGGACCAGCTTTAAGTGATCAGCAGTGATAGCCAGCCCAAATACAAAATGGAAGGACAGAAGTAAAAAAAAAAAAAAAAAAAAGGCTGTGATGACTTGGGGTGCAAGGAAGACAACGCTAGACGTCACGGGCTGGCAAGTATTTGTTTCTTAAAATTTAGCATCTACTCTACTTGGAGCTGCTGACTACTTTGGTTTTGGATAGCCAGGTGAGGTTCATGTCAGGGTCTGGTAGCTATAATTTATCTATGAATTTATATTACATCGCCTTTCATTCTGCTGTACCAGCACTCTGAACAAGTCCTGTCACTAGCCTAACACTTCATATGAAGATAAAAAAACAAAACAAAAAAAAAAAAAAAAAAAAAAACATACCCATCTCTTTTAGCTCACCATAGCCTTGATCAAGTATGCTAGCACTTACCATTGCAGCAGCTTCATTGTTCTGGTCATTCTTCAATAAGAGGGCACATTGCTGCTGGCATGAGTCAATGTCATCTTGTGCAAGATACAGGTGTGCAAGCTCCATTATCACCTTGACAGTAAAAGCACAAAAGGGCATAAAAACAAACTATACATGCAAATAAAATGTGTATACCATAAAATTTAGCTTTACAGTAATCAAAGCACTTTCTTTTTTTATGAATAATTCTAAGAGAATTCCACACTTTTAGTTCCTCTCAACCTCTTCCCTTTCTCATATTATGCATCATGCAATCAAACTTCTGCACAATTGACTTTCACTGTTGTGTGATTGGCGCTGGAAGTGTCAATATTAATGCATCTCACAAAGCATTGTCCACTGCAACCAGACAGATGAATAAAGTTAACATCTGAGATAAAACACTTGTGTATTATATCCTAATCATGTGTTTTGTTCATCTAATGACAAGGTCACCCATTATACACAAAGGAATGCCAGTGGGGGGGAAATCGGGTGGGGGGCGGTTATGTAGAAAATGGTAGCTGATCCCATGACCTATATAAACCTATATAAAAAAGGCAATTTCTGCTCTCTTAGGCCCCTTTCACATGGGGTGGAGTCCACTCCAATCAGCAGGGCATCTGTAAGTAGTTTCCCTGCTGATCAAAGCCAAATGGGACAGTTGTTACATCCATGCTTGTTCAGTTTCTGTCCAACTGACATGTGCGGACCCGTCAGCTGCTCTACAGGCGGCCAGGTATAACTGGGCTCCGCTGTCTCTTTACAGCAGGCTACTTCTGATCCAGTCTACAAAAATGGAAAGGCAGGAAACTTTGTCTTTTTCCCCATTTTTTTTACTGCAGGGCCTGCAGGGACCCAGAGGAAGGTGGGTGTAAGCACACAAGTCTGTTTACATCCGCCTGTCCATAGGGCTGCATAGGCTTTCCGATTAGGTCCACCTGAAAAACTGACAGGTGGACCTGATCAGAATGCCCATATGAAAGGGGCCTTAGACTAGCTATTGGGATATAAAGCATACAAATGATAAATATTTTTGATAAAATGCAGACCAATACTACAATAATCCTATTTCTTTAACATTGCAAATAACTAGAATGTTACCAGTTCACAGACTGCACTCCTTTATACTAAATAAAAGACAGTCAGCATCTGTCTGCAAAGGTACAGTTCAGTACCTCTCACCTTATTGTCAGTTTCACAGTACACCAGAGCTTCCTTATAAAATTTGATGGCCTTCTCATAGTCACGCTGGGCTGCAGCATGTCTGGCAATTTCGGCACAGATTTCTGCTGCTAGCACTTTCTGAGCTGGGACTGCATCTGGTTGCTCTAGCTGTGCCCTCTTCAGTACTCTGGCCTGCAGCTCTCTGGCCTGTCAACACAAGTAGAGACAGAAGTTCAGCTTATTTCACAGTTACATAATTTAACAAGATATTTATTTTAAAAGCCTCTCTGTATATGTCACTTATATTGTCACTTATTATGTAGCACAGTCTTTGGGTCATAAGTGGCCTGTAGAATGTGTGGACTGCAGTTCAACAATAGCAAATAAAACTGGACCTGGAAATCTAAAGTCTAAAGTAAGCAGATTGGCCTTTAACAAGCTTATTGATACTGCAGGGATATACACCAATCAGCCATAACATTAAGACCACTGGCTGGTAAAGTGAATAATATTGATTGTCTCTTTACAGTGGCATGTGAAAGTCGGTATTATACAATAGGCAGCAAGTGAACATGCTGTCCCTGGCGTTGGTGCGTAGAAAGCAGAAAAAACATGGGTAAGTGTACGGATTTCAGCAATTTTGACAAGGGCCAACCTGTAATGGCTAGATGACTGGGTAACAGCAATTCCAAAACTGCAACTCTTGTGTGACATTCCTGGTCTGCAGTGGTTAGGACCTAATATTAGTGGTCCAAGGAAGAAACACTGTCAAACCAGCAACAGGGTCATGGGCGGCCAAGGCTCACTGATGCACGTGGGGAACGAAGGCTGGCCCATGTAGTCTGATCCAAAAGAAGAGCTACTGTAAATCAAATTGCTGAAAAAGTTAATGCTGGTACTGCCAGAAAGGTGTCAGAACACACAGGGCATCGCAGTTTGCTGTGAATGGGGCTGCATAGATGCAAACAGGTCAGGGTGCCCATGCTGACTTGTGTCCACAGCCAAAAGCATTTACAATAGGCATATGAGCATCAGACAGTAACCAGAAACCGGAGCTAAAATCTCTCTTGCTGCACCAAAAATGGAATCTTGCACTTGCTGAGGTGCCGCCCTTGGTAGATCGGGGAATCTTGATACTAGCAGAAAAAAAGAACAAAACAAGGCGCACTCCCTTCCTCGGAGCAATAGATCTATTGCTCTGATGAAGGGAGCTTGACACCTGAAACGCATTAGCACTTTACCTGAGGACCCATGCTGTCCATGACTGGCATCCCTTGACTTCTTGTCTCTTTGTTCTTTTCTGCTAATATGAGCATCAGAACTAGACCGCAGAGCAATGGAAGAAGGGGTCTTCAAGGTGATGACTTGGCCTTTTCTGCTCGAAAATCTTGAGTCCTGACATTCATGTGGATGTTATGTGACATGTACCACCTACCTAAACATTGTTGCTGACCAAGAAAACCCCTTCCTTGAAATAGTATTCCCCTGACAGCAGTGTTCTTTCAGCAAAATAAAGCACCCTGCAAAAATGGGTCAAGAATGGTCTGAGTAACTCAACGAGTTTTCTGTGCTGACAGAGCCTCCAAATTTTCCAGATCTCAATCCAATTAAGCATCTGTGGGATGTGCTGGAAAAAGAAGACTGATCCATGCAGGCCCCATCCTTAAAGGATCTGCTATTAATGGTTTGGGGCCAGATACCACAATATACCTTCAGAGGCCTAGTGGAGTTCATGCCTTGATGGGTCAGGGCTGTTTTGTCAGAAAAAGCGGGACATACTCAATATATCTGGGTGGTCATGCTGTTATGGGTGATCAGTGTATATATAGCCATTCAACATCAATTTTGATTTAGGAATGGAAGTATTCCAGGATACAGATAAGTGGGGTATCATTTATTAAATTGCCAAAGACAATTTGTGGTAAAAATGTCTGTCTCAGTCTCGCACTAATTTTGGGCCTCTCCAAAGTAAATTTAATAGATCTCCCATGTTGGAGTCACATTTAACAGAACAGGACTCATCTCTTGATCAAACTCTATATAGTAAACTGAAACAATATGAGTTAATGAGTTCTATGAGAAACAGGGCCAGATCTCTGGGAGTGCCTGTAGTATTTCCTACCAGGTTTCCTAGGAAATGGCAAGGTCAGTCCTCCACTATTGCCTACACCTCATGAGTAGCTGAAGGATAAATCTGGTGTGCAAATGTGCGTATAATAGGGAGATCAATCCCTTTGTGCAAGCAGTTGTACCCAACTCAAAGAGTGCAGTGGGGGCAATCGTCATGTTAGTAGTACCCAACTAGTACTGTAGAGCATAGCGCAAATGTAGATATTGGAAGAGGTCTGACTGGGGTTTAAATAATTTTAACTGACTCTCAAAGTTATTCTGGGAAACAGTGAGAAATACCAGAACCCTTCCATTTTCCAAAGCCCTAAAGTTTGAGGATTTCCCGGAGAAGGTCTTTAGCCAAGAGAGGGGTTTGTGGAGTGAAACCCTTAACATCCAATAAATGTTTAGCCAAGGGCGGACTGGCAACTCATGGGGCCCCAGGGCAATAGGGTATCATGGGGCCCGTGTCCTTGCCCAAACTCAAAAAAGCCTATGAAAAAGGTACCAGGGGCATCTCATGGGGCCCCCTACTGACCCCGGGCCTTCGGGCAGTGCCCGAGTTTCCAAATGGTCAGTCCGCCCCTGTGTTTAGCAGATTCCAATAATTTTACAATTAGGCTATGAAATAATGCCAGATTTCCAGTGGAAAAAAAAAGGAACTGCGGCTCTTAAAAAAAATTCAGTCCTGAAATTTACACAGCTCTACTGCACAGCACAGACCTGTCTGGCAGGGCAGGAGACCTGATTTTCCTCTGCTGCAGTTAAGTGTTGCACTTGCAGCTCTTGTCCCTCCTCAGCCTATGACTGGGAGAAGCAGTACACTGAACACATCTCCCTATCAATCTGCTCTTGCCCTATCAACAAGTCCATTGATGGTACAAGACTGCTGCAGCACAGCTGATTGGCTTTTTGTGCCGCTTTTCCCTCTCCTAGTCTGAACTCTACTGTCTAGGAGACTGCAAGTGGCTGGTACAAATTGAGGAACGTACACTGCTTGCAAAAAAAAGTATAGATGTATCCATGAATACAGAGCCACATTAAGGTGTGTGTTTTTTTTATACCTGCCTAGTGTTCAGCTTTAAGGGGTTACATAGCCATTTTACTGGATAGTGACAAAAACAATATGAATATATAGATAATAATTTTACTCTTTGTAAGGAAACAATGGCCTCTTCTGTCTTCTCCATCTTGCTGTAAATCTTTGCAAGCAGAACATGGTAACGGCTGTCATCCATAAGAGGAGATAGCTCATTAACTTAAAAGGCAAAAATAAACTAAATTCAGATCATTTCAATAAAATGAATGCTGCAAAGAATTCTGCAGACTACAGTATTTTAGAAATTTGAATTGTAATTGCTAAAATGCAAATAAGCAGCTCAGTCATACCGGTCTCATGGTCCAGTGCTTGCACCAGAACTTTCTCTGCCTTCTCATAATGCTTCAGTTTTAATAGGAGCTCGGCCAAGTCATAGCGGAGGAAATTCTGTTGACCGCTTTTCACAGCTGTTTCATAGTAACTAATAGCCTGTCAAAGACCACAACACATTGTCAATGATGAATGATTAAGTACATGAAAATATTTTATATCAGGAAAAAGTATGGCAAGTACCTTAGCATAGTTGTGTGTCTTGATGAGGGCTTTACCAATTTTACTGGCAAGTGTCCCATCTTTGGGGTTCTTCTTTAAAGCCTGCTCATAAACATCTATGGCCTTCTCTGGCTTAACAAGATAAAAATAAATACTATTAATGTTTTCTATTCCTACAGAAATGTACCTATGAATGTTTAAAATGAACCTGTAATATCTTCTAATAGCAAGCACAGGAAATAAAGTAGATCTCATTACAGAGAATTCTAGGCTGTTCACCTTACCTCTTGAATATTCATATAGGCATCACCAAGAAGGAGATATGTTTGAGAACTTGGAACCTTATCAACCAGATCCCTGAAAAACAGTAAACATTTTAACATAAGTTTATTTTTTTTTTCTAGGAATTCCACCTAGCTTTAAACCTTCATTGACCTCTGTACCTACAGGCACTGTGAAACAATTTATCCTCAAACTGTGCTGCAAAAGTAATGAAGTTGTCCGTGTTGTTCTCTCAGCAGTCTATCGTTCCCCTTCAAGGTAACAAAAGCAGCGTTCCAACCTGATCATCTTTAACATGAACAAAGATCAAGATCTCTAGTGAGAGGATTATATGTGAACTAATCTTGCTAAAAGAATGACTGGGAGGTTTTCAGCCCTGGTTCACACTTGTCATGGGATCTGACAGTGTCAAATTGCATGACAAGTCAAACCCTATGATCAGGAATGGAACCGCTCTAATCAGTGCAACTCCGACTTCGTAAGAGTCGCACCAATTTACAAAGTATTTCCTGCACTGCGTTTTCCAATTTCTGGTGCGATTTGCATTGACAGATGCCTTACAAGTTGCAGCTGAAGTCGCAATGACATGCCACTTTGAAATTGTACAACTTCACTTGAAGTCTCACAATTTCAAAGTTGTATTCAGTGTGAACCCGGGCTTCCGCTGTGAACTCTAGGGAAACATAGCTCCACAGTGCCTGCAGTTATAGAGCTCAGTGAGGGCTTATTTTAAAACTTGTTTACTGCTTGTTACAATTATGCAAATGATTTAATGCCCACAAACTGACCACAGGTTCACTTTATAGTGAACTTGTTTATTGCTCATGCAGGCATGTATATTAGGAAGGTTGAATTTCACAATTTAACAAATCTTCATATATCACAAGAAGGAGTTTAGGCAAGTGATAGGCAAAACTATGTAGTCCAGCAGGCAGGGCTGAAAATGCTGTCTGGGACTCCAGTGCGCAGAGGCACTGTGTTATCAGCCCAGACAGTAAGTTAGAGGCACACAATTTCTGGCAGCCCAACAGGTATTTTTTGGTACTTGCAACGTTTTTGTTTTTTTTATTATTAAATCAAAGAAATTCTATTGAGAGAATAAGTGTGACAAATAACCAGCAATTCCAGAACAAACAAATAAAACAGTAAGGCATGGATGGAGCAAGCATGAACACATCTACTCCACAGAATCATGCTATACCAACCGCTCCGTATCCGCCACCCCTCTCTGCCAATCTCTCCACTGGCTTCCGATTGCCCAACGCATAAAATTCAAAATATTAACATTAACGTACAAAGCTGTTCATAACACTGCCCCAAACTACATCACCGACCTGTTATCCATCTATCACCCAAAACGCACACTCCGCTCCTCACAAGACCTCCTTCTCTCCAGTTCCCTGGTCTCCCCCTCCTATGCCTGTCTCCAGGACTTCTCCAGGGCTTCCCGCATCCTCTGGAACTCACTACCCCAATCCATCAGACTGTCACCTTCCCTCATCACCTTCAGGCGCACCCTGAAAACCTCTCTCTTCAGAGAAGCCTACCCCTCACCTAATTTGCTGATCTCCTCCGCTCTTCCCACCACTCCATTCCCCACAGCTATTTCCTCCTGTACCACTCTCCCCTCCCTCCTAGATTGTAAGCTCCAAGGAGCAGGGCCCTCGAACCCCTCGTGTATTGTATTGTTACTGTACTGTCTTGTGTGCGGTCTCCCATTATAATGTACAGCGCTAAACAAACCGTTGGCGCTATATAAATACTGTATAATAATAATAATAATAATACAGTAGTATAAAAGTGGCACAGGACCTCACCCCCAAGCCCACATCCCACCACCCACCCTTCGTGTGAACCTCCCCCCACTATGTCTCCCAGGCTACGCTAGCCCATCTGCTGGCCCGGGACCTGTTCAGCTAGAGGGGAGCAAGGAGAGCGGACATGTCCGCTCCCCTCCCCTTCTTGTCCTGACCCGGAAGTGATGTTATGTCACTTCTGGGTCCCCGTTGACAGATTCTAGCCATGGAGGCCGGGAAAGAATGTAATGCGGTGCAATAAGCATTGCATTACATTCATTTGAGTGCAGGGGAGACATGCAGGGTCTTTTAGACCTTGGATGTCTCAATAAAGAGAACCTGTCACCAAAAAATCATCACATAGAGGAACCATAGGTGTAAATTAGTCAGTGAAAATCCTGCCTATTACCAGATCATGTGGATTTATACCTGGGATATGTATCCAACCCTGGACCCCAGAGTTTTTCAAATTTATGAGGGCAACCCCTGTGCTGGTAGATATATTTCTCCATTCTTCATTTTCCCATTCATTGCAGCCATTCCTTAGGAGTGAAGGGGGGGGGGGGTCTGTTGACTTCCAATGTAATAAGATAACCCTCTGTACCTGGAATAATGCCCTTGCCACTGCTTTCCTTGCATCACTATGCAGCTGTTATATCCGGAATATTGTGTTCAGAGTACCCATAATTCCCTCCCATTATAGATGTAATTTAGGACACCTCCTTAAAAGATGAATTGAATCACCATAGTCCTGGCTGCATTTAGTGCATGTGAGGTCCTTAAATATGCCCATCTTAAAGAGTTTTAAAAGGGTATAATGGACCTGTAGAAACAAATATAGCTGCAGAAGTGCTTTCAGCATTTTTAGAGCAATACAACATGTAGAAATGTGTAAGTACTGTAAAGATGCACTGCATATATTTTTTTTTTAATTCTACCCTGACAAACAATTTAAAGTTCTGGCTAAAGTTACTTTTAAAAGGTACTTAGAAAAGTAGAACATTGCTCTGGAAATGTATGTAATACAAAGTGATGAATGAAAGTGCTTCACTTGAAAATACAAGGTCCCAATGTTGTTGACAAGGGTATTATGTAATGTAATGTATTTATGTTGGCAAATTTTATTATTTCTATTTCAAAGCTAATATACACTGCATTATTCCTGTTAAGATCATTTTATTTTTGTTTTCATATTCTTTTGTGAGTAGAAGTGATGCTTACAGTAAATCTACCCCAGAAATACATGCTAATTATTTTACCTGTAGCAGCTGACATAGAGCTTCTTATCTTTCCTGTGCTGCAGATAAATATCAGCCATTTTCTCCTTGGCCTGCACAAAGTAAGGCTGCTCTGGAGAGACATTTCGAAGCATGGATAATGCTTGTTCCACATCACCATGAGTCAGAGCCAGCTCCGCATTGGCAATCATGAGACGCAGTTCTTCCGCTGTTCCAGTAAATTCATTGATAGCATCTTGTAATACCTTTGCTGCCTCGTGCTTTAGATACATGTACAGAAATAGCAATAAAGAAAGGTTATTGAGTAAACATAATATCAGACAGTACATAGGTCCTCACATAGGTAAACGTTTCAAAGGGAATGAGTTTGAGATTCTACCTGTCACCAGGTCAGAAAAGAGGGAGCCAGTGTCTGACAGACCGCTATAGCCAACAAGAAAACTCTAATGTTTATATTATAGAATTAAACAACGTGAACACAAACAAACCTTCCATTTAATTATATATTAAAATCCTGTTTCTACATACCACAAAAAAAAGACCAATAATGTAAAATTACTCAAATAAATAAAAGACCAAATTACCAAAATAAATAAAAAAAAACACAACAGCTTCTACTCGAGTTTACGGTGAATATTCATGTCTTTTTTTTTTTTTGCTGGCCTTACAGTGAGCAATTTAAAGGTGAACTCTGGATACAAAAAAAAAATCGTATATATTCCTTAATAGCCACAAAGCAAATAAATTCACTTTGTGAGCACCAAATGATTTGCAAACCCAGGTATTATACTGTAAAATGTTATAATTTTCATGAATAAAATTGTTATTTCTAAAATTTTTAACTGCGATTAACACCAAATAAGACTGACGATACAGGATCATTTTAAGGTTGCCCAATGTCAGAATTATATCACAGCCAAACTGACTTTATAAATGATTTGCATATAGGAGGCACTGTGGGTTGATCTATTTAGCTGGCTAAATTAATTGTTCAGCAATTCCCTGACAAAGCACAGCCTGTACAAAAAGCAGATCTGTGGGGGTGACCGAACACATCCACAAATTACAGGCTGCCTGCAGAAAACTACAGGTGCAGGGCAGATACAGGACCAGCGTCCATGCACAGCCACATCCATTACAGCCCTAATTTCTGGGCCTAATTCACCCTGACCAATAAAATTGCCCAGAAAGCTAAACTCCTAACAGATATAAAAAAACATATAAAACAAACATTAATACTGCTCTGAAAGCCTCAATACATCATTAAATATTTTTTTTTTTTAAATCAAGCAGTGTAAGCATATGAATTTGACTTTGTGTCATTCCTGCCATAGCCGTGTATATCAGAGCTCAAACTGTGAGAGGGATAAGCAGCACAAGGAAGCAGTCGTGCTGCAATGCTCATGTGTTACAAGGAGCATGATGATAGGAGCAATAAGAAGAGTGGCAGAAAGATGAGCTCATCAGTCTGTTGCTTTTCCTTCACTGTGCAGTCACAGAAAGGGCAGTGCTGTGTAAGGTCCCTTTCACATGGGGCGGTCCAGTTTTTCAGGTGGACCTGATGAGATGTTCCATAGTATCAATACAAGTCCATTTACACCTGCCTACCTTCAATCCAATCTGGTCTGGTAAAAAAAAAAAAAAAAAAAAAAAAAAAAAAAAAAAAGGGAAGGAATCTGTCCCCCTCCGTCTAGGCAGATCGAATCAGAGGGCAGTCAGGTGTAAACTGACAGACGGTCCATTTACTCCCGGCCACCCCTAGAGCACAGCAGGCTCTGTCATCTGCTTGCTCTGCTCAGCAGGGGACCAGTTGACAGATTCCCCACTGAGCAAATCAGATTCGGCCTTGTGTGAAAGGGGTCTAATTCTCAAAACTGGATGGACATAAATACAAATTCTGTGGCATGTGAAACAGCCCCCATATATGTATATTTATATATATTTTTATTTAGTCGTTTGCCTGGAACAAAGAATTTAGCCCTCATTTTAGGATGCTACATGTTTAACTCCTCCTATACCTGCTCGCCATTCAAACGATGAGCATCTACGAGCTCCAGAAAAATGGACACCCTGTCGCTAGCACTGATCTCTGCTTTTCTTCCCTTTGACTTTGCTGTAGCACTTCCTTTCTTCATTCCAGGTAAGTTCATTGCCATCTGTAGTGTTTTAATGGCTTCTTGAACATCTCCCATCCGTTTCTGGGTCTGTGCTTTCAGGAGATTGTATAATGGATACTCCCGTATCTGTACTACCTTTCACTGATAACATTTGAAGTGAGGTGAATTAAACATTTCACTTTTTCTAAGGTCATTCATCTGCGAACATTTACAGGCTAGAAAAAAAGGTAGGAAGATAATCCAAAGAACACATTCTGCATGCCAACCTTACTTAACAACTGCAGATTCCCAAGGAAATGTAATTTGTAATATGTTGCCTATATGGGCTAAGGCTACATGAAAAATAAAAGATTAAAAAAATTATGTATGTTCATTAAAGGATAATTTCACCTTTCTCAACATATTGCATGTTACACCCGTATTTATGGTGTAACATGTAACTTGTTGAGCATCTGCCACCTGACCCCCCGATCCGCCCCCTCCTTGGTTGGGTGGGTGAGTGACCTTCTCCCCGCATCTGCTGTCACAATTTTTCCCCGGCTCCGCCCACATGGCCGTATCATTCATTCACACAGCTCTGTAAATAAATACCTACAAGTACCATCAGCCATTGCAGGTGACGGGCTTGTAGTTCTCAATGAACTGCAAAGGCAGCAGTGAACCTTCATGGTCCATTGAACTACCTGGACATCAGTAACTGTCTGCCCGTATAAAGTATGGGCAGATAGTGTACTGACAGTTTGCAAGAACCTCACATTGCTCCAGCGATCTGCTGGGTGCAAAACTTTACAGGCTCTCATGATAAAAATAATAAATGCACATTTTTTAAAGGTAAACTTGTTCTTTAATGTCTGTGCACAGTCATGTGACAGAGTGAAAAATCCCTGAGATATTAAGTGCACACCATAACTACATGGGAGAACACAAATCGTAAGAGGTGTGAAGTGCCAGATAAAAGAAAGGCGCAGCTACTCACAAATTCCAAAGTATATAAGTGTCACAGCACTCTGGTATGGGTTAAAGAACGAACACTTGTTTCCGTCACAAAAGTAAATGCAACATTTCAGGACTGAATAAGCCCCCTACATGAAGACAACTGTGTCTCTGT